CGGTCCTGGATTGTGAGAGGGCTGTCCAACTGCCCCCAGGCCTAAACTGGCAGTCAGACATCCCTCATAATCCAGGACCACTGGCTCCTAACCACTCACCTGCCTGCCTGCCTAATGACGCCTAACTGCTCCCCTGCCTGCCTGATCGCCCTTAACCACCTCTGCCTTGCCCTGAACCCGGGACCCAGAATTCCCTTCTCCAGCCAGTTGCAGGCACCCGGGACCTGGGCTTCCCTCCCTCTGGCCGACCACAGGAACCCAGGACCTGGGCAAGCTTCACCTGTGCCAGCCACAGCCACAGGGGACCGTGGGCAGGTGGCTTCACCTGGGCCGCAGCCACAGGAGCCTGGGACCACAGGGTGGGTGGCTTGTCCCTCTCCCAGGCTGCAGGCACAGGCACAGCTGCTGGCACCCAGAACCGTGGGATGTGCGGCTTGTCCCTCTCCTGGGCCACAGCCTGGCTGGTCCCCACTGCTCTGTTGCGAACTCATTTGTGCCTGGCTGGTCCCCAATCCTCTCTCCACAGTGTTGAGTGTCTGAGCCCTTATAGTGTGACAGCATGAGGGCCTGATGATCATTTGCATATTAGCTCTTTATTATTAGGATTCCATCAGCTATTCCTCACTCAGCACGGACTTTCTTTTTCCATCCTGGACAGCCCTTAGTTGACGAGAATCTGCTGGATCCCTTCTAGTTTATAATGTTGGTAGGAATTAGAAGCAGAGTCCAGATATCTCAGACAGCACTGACTCTACCAGCACACACTGAATTTATTTTGTAGCAGGGGCACCACATTGCTGATAAGTCTGAGTCAATTAAAACTCCCAGAACTTTCTCAAACTAGACTCCTCTCAGCTTTCTATATTTGTACAACTGATTTACAAACTTAATGCAGTACTACATTTATTTCAATTAAGCTTTATTTTTAAATTCATGCATGGTGCGGTCCCTAGGCCTGGCCGGTGACCAAAGTGTGAGGTCTGGCGTGGAAGGACAGGTCCCACCTGAGTCACCACACCCGAGTCCCCACGTGGAGCCGGGAGCTGCTGGCGGGGACACAACAGACCTCTGGGCCACCCAGTGGTGTCGCATGAAAGCCGGGCAGGCAGCGTACTCTCTCCAGGCCAGCCTTGTAGACCGGCTCCTGTGCGAACCCATGGGGAGCCCGGCCAGCCCCTGTGGTCCTGGTGGCTGCTACCTGGCTCACCTGGAAGAGGCTGCACAGGTGGGGGGGGGGGGCAGGCTCATCACTGGCACCCAGCATCTGAGTGCGGGGTTTTCCTGATGCGAGAGACCTGGCATCCCCAGGGAAGGTAGCAGCGGGTGTGAGAGTGAGCTCAGCAGGTAGCCCACATTCTCACCAACCCTCTGTCCTCATCACTCCCACCCCCAGGTAGCCAGCAAGAGGTTGCAGCACCCCACCCAGGCACAGGCACACCTGCTGGTGCCCGGAACCGTGGGATGTGCGGCTTGTCCCTCTCCTGGGCCACAGGTGCTGGTGCAGCCGCTGGCGCTCAGGACCACCCTTTGAGTGCCAACCAATATCCTAGGAACTATGCTAAAATTGCCAAGGCATTGTTGCTGATTTTTTTTGACCTCCACTGTTTTTTTTTCTTGTTTTTTTTTAATTGCTTAAAGTATTACAAAGGGTATTAATGTGTCCTTTCCCCCCCCCCCCCCCTTC